AACGCTGAATTTTGATACTTGTTCTGAAACCTAGAGGATTTAGTTATGTAACCATTTATAAGACTTTCTTGATCACAGGCAAATGGTTGCATACTCAGAAATGCTGGGACTGCTTGAAACAAAGCAGCAACAGCAGAAGAAGAAATAATGCCTGAAATAGATGTATGAAGTAAAAAAAATATGGACCATTTTACTCAATAATATTAAAAAAATCAAAGGTGCTATTATAAAGAAATGTGTTCGGAAATGTTAATTACTGATACCTCTGAAAATAATTCAGACATTTATTACTAAAATGATGCAAATATACACACACCCAAACTCCTGAAGTAGAAACAATGTTAAGTAAAAGAAGCCCAAAGAAAATTAAAGCAATCCATGTTGATAGAGAAATTTTCTTGGTTTTGACCTTACGCAGAAAGGTTTACAATCTGGAATAGCTTCCAAAATCCCTGACTATATACCATAGGCAGCAAAAAGTGCTTTAGGTTACCTGTGCCTGGTGCACTATCAAAAGTGGCTTTGAGGATTCAAGACCATTTTTGTGCTGTACATCACAGTTAGATTACTGGAATGTCATCTACAGAAGGTTATATGGGCACATTCCTGGAAAGCTGCAGGTAGCACAGACTGAAATATTATTTTACTATCCTCAAGACTGACATTTGGTTTCATTTCGAGGTATAGCAATAAATAAAGCATTCTATAACCATGAAATGACCGTGGAAAGTGATGCTTTTTTTTTTTCAAAGTGAAGAGGAGACAACATTCACTATCTAATGCTATGAAAGAACTAGGAGGTATTAAAACAACCAAAAGGCAGTACTCTTCATACAATGCATTGATAAGCTTTGTAGTATGATACTATGGATGCTAAAATGTACATAGGTCTACGAAACAAAGGCACACATTAATAGAATAAAAATCTATGGTGCGTCACAAATTACAGAAAGTCCTTGAATCTCAGATGGACAATGCAGGAGTAATTACTAAAGTATTGCCACATAGTCTTTCCCTGTTCTCCTATTCTTCTCTGGGCATTTGATTTTGTCCGCTTTTGGAGTCAGCGAAATGGTGGACAGACTTTTCATCTGACTCAACAGAGTCACAATAGCACAGTGGGACACAGAGGAATCCCTGTATTCTCTTGCCTACAAATTTTCATCACCTGCTCTCTATACCATATGTACCCTGCAGTACAGCATATGGATCTTGTTGCTGTCAGTTCTAAAACGTTTTGACACTAGGATCACAATCACAGAATTAGAAAAGCTGACGACTCCTTACCCCCAGGAAATTGTTCATTTCTCTATTTGCTTATGATGCAAAACCCCTTGGGAGAAAGAAGACAAAAGACCTATCTCTTTCATTCAAGTGATGTGGCCTGGGAAACTCCAAGCTGGAAAAGAAACAGGCAAAGAACAGGAATATGGGCAGAGATAAATGGTAGGGGAGGTAGAATGGGAGAATAAAAACCAAAGGATTTAATAAAATATACAGCAGGATCCACAGAAGCAGAGAATGAGTGCTTGGGGGAAATAGTTTTTCAACTGTGAATATTCTCTCATATGAAACACCAACACAATCCTGAACAATATTTTGTCTCCCTCAAAAGATTTTTCCACTGTTGCTGTTTTTGCAGTTGGCCAGCATCAATGTTATACATACACAGACCATCTCTCTCTACACTGCATTAAGAAAATTCAAGGGCAAAAAAGAAAAATAATGTCCTCTTGCTTTTAAAAGCTTGTTCTCAAATAAATTCTCTACTGGATATATATAGAGAGAGACACATATAAAATTAGCTTTACATTGCCTACAGAAAAACAAATGCCTGGTTGTAACCAGATATTGCTTTTGAATCTCTACTCCAAGTTATTCCTCAATGATAATTCTCTAAATTACTACCAGCATGAAAAATTCTGGAAGATAAACTGGACACTATGGAAAAAAGGAATTAGCAGAACAATTCTTGTTGGTATTTTATTCTTAGAATTAAACAAGATTTGCATTAGTTAAGTATATTTGGTTAATAAGAATAGTATTTTCCTTGTATACATTAAAAATAATTCTCTCCACATTTTCTATACTGCTTGGACTGTTACAACTTATGCAGGACAAGCTAGCATGTCACAACAGCCACTAGAAGGAAGTTTGAACTTCCTGGCTGAGTCACTGCAAAACTCAAAGCTAAACTTGGGTAAAGGCAATGGTATTATAAGTGAGTCCAGAGGAGGCCACCAAGATGATTAGAGTGCTGGAGCATGTCTTCTACAAGGAAAGGCTAAGAGAATTGGGATCATTCAGCCTAGAAAAGAAAAGGGTTTGGGGTGACCTAATTGGAGCCCTCCAGTACCTGAAGGGAGCCCACAAGAAAGATAGAGAGGGACTCTTTACAAGAGTATATAGTGACAGGACAAGGAAAATTACTTCAAACTGAAAGAGAGTAGGCGTTACGAACATTAGATCTTCCTAACATTGGACGTTAGGAAGAAATTCCTTGCTGTGAGGGTGGTGAGGCAGTAGAACAGGCTGTCTGAAGAAGTTGTGGATGCCCCATCCCTGGAAGAGTTCAAGGCCAGGTTGGATGGAGCTCTGAGCAACCTAGTCTAGTGAAAAATGGGCCTGTCCATAGCAGGAGGGTTGGAACTAGATGATCTTTAATGTTCCTTCCAACCCTAATCACTCTATGATTCTATGATTTGTTATAAACCTCATGGTTGTGATGTGCAGTTTCAGTCACTTGTGCATAATATTTTAACACAAAAAGATATTCATTCATAATGCCTCTTTAGTAAAAAGACAAAAATGAACACTGTCTGACAGTTCTGTACTGTCATTTACACAGTTTTGTTGTATAAACAGCAGGGGCATCATATTCGCTGCTGCTTTTGAAACCATTTTGCCTTTCAAATTAACTGAAAAGTAACTTCAGGGCTCTTGTGAGAGCTGCATGCTAATCTATGTCACATCATTGAGTTGCTTTACTTCTCATTCAACCTACTGTGTTTTTGCCTCCATGGTTTTAACAGCACCAGTCATGTTGGCTTGTCAAAGCAAATAAAATAACGGAAAAAACAGTGTCAGTTGAGAGAGAGAAAAACAGAGTTGGAATATTTCTATGAGTAGGGACATGAATAACAGCCCTTAGGAAGGTTTCTGAGATTTCTTCCCTCCAGAATGCATTATTGGTTTCATGTGGAATGAATGGCTGATGGTGACTCCTGCTCACTCCCTTACATGCTCACAACAACTTAGACCTGTGAAACCAGTTCAACACTCTATGTTAAGTCTCAACAGATGGATTCTTAAGGTTATTTTCAGAGCAGCTGACCTTCTCACCTACTGAGTATTCACTTGTCACTTGTGTGAAAGGAAAACAACTTGAAGAACATCAACCTGCAGCCCTGCACCTTTTTCTCTGTGACTCATTTTGTACACTTGGATGTGTTACAATAATGGCACATGGCTCAGATTTTCCAGTACAATCAGTGCATCTGCAGTCACATCAGGAATGTACTTCATAAGACATTCTCCACAGTAGTAACATGCACTCAATTTGCAATGCCCATGGAGGAAACTTCTAGACAAAGAGATAAATATTAGCAGTGAGATGTAAACAAGCATGCATCCATTAGATAATCCAAATTCTAACTAATAAATAATTTTCAGGAAAGCTGGTAATTATTCCCAGGATAAATGCTCTGGATTCTAACTGGAACATCACTCAAGCATGTCCTCCAACAGAACTGGGAAAGCCATGTGAGTTTCAAGGATTTTTTGGCAGAGTGATACTCTTCAATTCACAAAATATGGAGCATATAGAGTATTTAGTCACAATCTGACGAAAATAAACAAGAGAAAATTTTGTTTGGGATTGGATGATACTGTGCAAGTATCTGTGAAAGAAACAGGTATAGCAGCCAGGTTTTGATTTTGATAAATACAAGAAATAACTAAAGAGGCAAAAGAGAATTACATTATCAGACAAAACAAATTATATGCAAGGCATATGTAGGCAGAGAGGAATTCACTGCATGCTATCTGGAGGCATCAGTCCCCAAAAGAAACCAGAAAGCTGAGAAATAAGCAGACACATGCCAAAGACATGCTCTTGGAATTTCCAGGAACTGGACCCTGAGAAGAGTGCGAAGAGCACTTTGGGCTTTGGGCTGAGCACTAGGTAAAATGGGATTGGAGCAGCTAATCCCAATGTCAGTCTCTTCTCCCAAGTAACAAGCAATATGACAGAAAGAAACAGCCTCAAGTTGCACCAGGGGAGGTTTAGATCGGATATTAGGAAAAGTTTCCTCATGGAGAGGGTGATCAGGCATTGGAACAGGCTGCCCAGGGGGAGTGGTGGAAACACCATCCCTGAAGGTACTTAAAGATGTGTAGACATAACACTTAGGGACATGGTTTAAGTGGTGCAATTGGCAGTGCTGATTTAATGGTTAGACTGGATGAGCGTAAGCATCTTTTTCAACCTAAATGACTCTGATTTTATGTGTGGGTGTATACAAACCATGCTTTTTGAAAAGTTGACCTCTTGACCAGTTTGGGGCTCATTTTTACAGCATGAAAAAAAAGAGATACACTTGAAATTTGGCCTGTGGATCAGGTTCCTGCTCCAAATAACAAACCTGTATTTAGTAGAGTTTAGCAAAGAAAAACTCATCAGAACATTTTAAAGGTCATGCTACTTTTCTCCTACCTTCTTTCCTTGAAACAACTTAGAATTTTTGATGCAAAACAAAAAGGTCTCAAATTAACATGTCTGAAAACATTTAGCCTAAACAATTAAAGCACAGCAAAATTATAACCAACTGACAACCAGACTACATCACAGTAATATGAATGAACATTGTAGCAGAATAATAAATAATAATTTCAACCCAGAGCTTTTCCTATGCAATAAAAAATACATGAACATAGTGTAACAGTTAAGAATGGAAACATACACTGCTTTCCTTTTTCTTGGTGAGGTGAGAAGCATACCCTGGTAGTAGTGTCATTTTCAGTTTTGTTTTGGAATTGAGAACACTTCAGGAAATCTGGCCAAGAAGCATTTACCATACCCAGGACTGGTTCACAGCCTTCCTTTGCTGCCTCACAAAATGTTCTGCAGGGCAAGAGGCCTCGACTGAAGAAAAGAGACAGAGAACAACATCAAAAATTATTACTACTGTATTAGATTGTGCAAACTTTTAAAAAAGAGTAAAGAAGTAATAATAAACACTTCTGAAGAATTTTGCTTTCTATAGAGCCACACCAAAAAGGTGCCACATCTTCATTATTCATGGAAGGTGACATCAGCTCTGACTTTCAAGCTAAATTTAACTGCAAATGAGGCTCAAATCAGGCTCAGAACAGATTTCAAGTTCAATTCAGTACAAGCTGAAATTGGGATTTCATCAGCTTTTGAACCAATATAATAATGGTGTAGTAAAACCTCACAAGAGAAAGCTTGCATCTTCATCCTCTTCTTCTATCCCATAGTTGTGCAGACCTTCCCCTCTCTAGTTTTTGGCAAACATTTCCATGAGCTTATAAAACAAATAATTAACTTGGAAAAAAATCTTTTCATGTTTTTGACTGCGTAAGCCTTCTGACAACTTAGGTGTGCTGAATGCTCTCATGAAGAGAACCAACAACCACCAGACATAAACTGTAGGAACACAGAGAACACTGTATCACCCCCTTTTAGCATTTATGTGCTCTTGCATTATTTCCCCTGAGCAGTCAAAACATGAGTGTCAGATCAAATGCAACAACAGTGTTGTAAATAACCAGAGAGTCACTTGTACCTAAATAATTATATCCTTTATCATAATCATGAGCTGCCACCACCATTACCATATATGATTTTCTTAGCATGATCATTAAATTCTGGAAAGATTCCATGCACAAAATGATGTAATGGAAGTGAAATTCAGCTAAACAAACATCAGATTGACCTGGAAGGTCACAATATTTTGAAAGGAGGCAAAACTGCTTTAAGCAGAAAATGCCAACCAGCTCTCAGTGGAAGGAATAAGGTTTACAGAGACAGAAATACATGTAATTGATAATCATGGCTCTTTCACACAACAGCTGACACATGCAGAAATGCTTGAGAGAACTTCACCCATGCAAGTGCATAGAAGATATGAGATGGCATCTAAGGACACTGTTCAGTGCTCTTGCAAGGCCTGTCTCCATCATGTCTGAAAGGTCATGAACATCAAGGGAGGTTGCTCACAACTAGGAAAAGGCAAATGTTGTATTCATCTTCAAAAAAAAAAGAGCCAAGACGGTCAAGCTGGCTAACTTCAAGCTGGTTAGCCAGATTTAGTCCCAAGGAAAATCACAGTGAGTCCTACCTGAACACATTTCTGGGCACAGGAAGGTGGTGATCAAGAACAGTCAGCATAGATTTACCAAGGGTAAATCATGGCTGACCACTCTGATTGCCTATTCTAATAAAATAACTAGATATGTAGTACTGGGACCTGTCCTGTTTGACAGCTTTATTAAGGACCTGGAAGAAGTGACCAATTGTGCTCTTGTCAAGTCTGCAGATGACACCAAACTGTAGGAGGTAATTTTCCAACAATTTCTTGTAATTTATATCTAAATTACTGCAGAACCTTTTAGGCTTTAGCAAATACAATTTTGCTTTATTCATAACCACCCATAATGCCACAGAAAAATCCGTTTCCTGGTAAACTACTGTGGTCCTATCATCTCAGGCACAAGTGGCCTGAACTGAAAAGTCCACAGTACCCAAAAACTCACTTATTTATTGTTTCTTTACACCGTGACAGAGGAAAACACAGTACTATTAGCAACTGTGTGACATGGCAGCAAACCACACAAGCAAGGAATAAAAAGCAGCCAGAGCTGCCTGACTACCAGTGGTAACATGAAGAGATTGGTGTAAAGCCAAATACTCACTTGCATAAGTTTTCTGAATCCAGTATGGTTGCCTTTATCTTCTTAGAAGCTAAAAATAGAAGTGTGTTGCCAGTGTTGTTACTGAATTCATTACATACTCTGGTTGGGATCACTGTTTCAAAATATGGACCTTTAGAGATATATTCTCCAGGTAATGCTAAGGAGTTTTACACACAGCACTTTACATGCTACACGACTGAACTTATCTCAGAAACATGTCAAGGACCTTTCCCTCTGAAATTTTCCCTTGCAGTTTCCTAGATGGCAGCTTACTTGATGCCTGGAAAGAAGCAGATATATTCTAAAATAGCACTTTTCACCACCATATTTTGATGTGTTGAAAGGCAGAAAATTTCTGCACCATAAATCACCTATCTGGCTGTGTACAAAACCAGGAACAAATGGTCCCTACTGATGACAGAAAGAGTTGCCACTTATTAGTTTGGCAGTTGTACTGGCAAACCATATGACTTTTAAGGGCTCTTCAGATAAAGATGTTCTAAGACACTCTTCTGCTTTATATAGAACCTATTTGATATGGAGAGAAAGAAAGGGCACAACAAAAGCTCTCCAGTAGCCATCACTGCCTCCTGTCTGGAGCCTGAAAAACTCCCTAAATAAAGCACAGTAATAATTTAGAAATTACTAGGCTTCTAAAAGACAACTGCATAGTGTTCTAATAAGTTGGCAGAATTTTCAGCCTAGAAAAACTCTGGCAAATCAGAAAACATGGGATTACCCAGCAATTACTGCAACATTTGATCCAGTTTCAATGTTCAGTCACGTGTGCTCCACAAATTAAATACTTCTGGATAATGATCAAGTTCAGTATGGACATATTGCTTAATCTACTGAAGGATGAAAATATTGTTAAAAATCTCCATCTTGATTAGTCTTATTTACAGCTACTCAGAGACTAATCATTTTAAAAATAAACTGGCAGATTTACAGCAATCTTACCATAATGGATTTGATGCCAGTGGAAGGCACAGAAGCAGTTTATAACATATTAGGGTGTGATTCTGCTCTGCAAGATATTACTGGAAAAAACTCTTCCTGAAAATGGAGTTTGAGGAAAGAACAGATATGTGACATATTTAAACTCTGCGGTTGGTTTCCCCGCACTTAAAAATTCATACTTTGGTTATTTCAGCTGCACAGAAATACCAACATTAAGAACTGTATGGCACCAGAAGAAACAAAAATGTTCTTTATAGTTTATTAAGTATATTAGGGTAAAGAGAATAAACAAAGGGGTTTAATTTGCATAAGGTATCTTTGCAGAAGCTATTTATCAAAGGAGTTTTATATCAAATATTCATTGAAGCAGGTATCTACAATACAGTATTTGACTGGAATAGAGTTAACTTTCTTCACAGTGACTAGTATGGAGTTATGTTTAGGATTTGTGCTGAACACAGTGCTGATAATACAGAGATGTTTCTATTATTGCTAAGCAGAGTTTACACAGAGCCAAGGCCTTTGCTGCTTTCCATACTGCCACACTGGCAAGGAAGTTGGGGGTGCATGGGAGATTGGGAGGAGACACAGCTGGGACAGGTGACCCAAACTGACCAAAGGGATATTCCACACCATAGGACATCATGCTCAGTATATAAGGTGGGAGGAAGAAGGAGGAAGGAGGGACATTTGGAGTGATGTTGTTTGTCTTCCCAAGTAACCATTATACATGATGGGCCCTGCTCTCCTGGAGATGGCTGAACACCTCCTGCCCATGGGAAGCAGTGAATTAACTCCTTGTTTTGCTTTGCTTGTGTGCAGCTTTTGTTTTCCCTATTAAACTGTCTTTATCTCAACCCACGAGTTTTCTAGCTTTTGCCTTTCCAATTCCATCCCCGATCCCACTGATGGGGCGTGAGCGAGCAGCTGTGTGGGGCTTGGTTGCTGACTGGGGTTAAACCATGACAAGCACATACTCTAAAAGTATTATGTTAACTGATTTTAAGCTTCCAAAGAGGCTACACATTGTCTGAGAGCAGATGGTCTGACTCTTCATGACAGTCACCTAGAGTTCACTTAAATTGGAATTCAAATTGTCTGAGTATAATCCTACCTACATGGATCTACTCCTTATCACTCAAAGATATTTTACATTCTTAGATTAATTCTTTTCAGAATTTACTCCTTCTGTCATACTGACTTCTTTTCTTTGCAATCACATTACCATGCACAGGGCTCATCGGTAGACTCTGTTACTTAAGTGGTTGTTTTGGGTACTAGAAATTATCAAAGAAACACACTACAAGAATCAGTAAGGAGAGGGAAGATCCTCTTGGCAACTATTTTTCCTCTTGCTGCAGAATTTAACACAGTTTCTGAAGTCAGCTTAAGGATCAAGGTAGCTCAAGGATCTGACTATCAAACTCAGCAGCCACTGAGGGCATGTCTTCTTGGAAGCAGCAGCAGCATATGCAGATTTTGTTCCCAAATGCCTGTATCTGCTTCTGTGCTGCTTTCAGTTTTGCTGTTTGTAACAGCTGTTTGTAGGCTGTATAGTAAGACAGGTCAAATAAGTGATTCAGCTAAGAGTAATGTGACCACAAAAAAAGCCTTTTTTTTTCATCATATGACAACTCAATTGGCTCCTCCAATGGGATACAGACAAAGCAGGAAAAAGATGTCAGGAGAGGGAGAAATAGAAATTGTTAAAGCTGACAAAAGCATTAAATAAAATAGACGACTAACCATCCTGCAGGGACTCTCCATGCAGCCTGGTAAATTTGATAGTCTATCTAGTGCTCATTATTTTCTGTGGCATTTCTTTGTGTCTCTACATTAGTATCTCTGCTGGTAAAAGCACTGCCACAGCCAAGCCCTGTTGAGAAATTGATTACTGAAATTTTACAGATTAAAACAAAAAAAGGCAAATGACTTGCAAAAGGTTATAAACCAAGCTGGTATGCCAGAGCTGAAAATACAGCACGAAAATCACTCTGAGAACACACAACTGCTGACAGTTCAATAGACAACCTGACTGAAGACAGACTGATGAACATTTTAGCTACTGCTGGTCCTCATTACTGTTCTTTCCCCAACTTCATCCCTTTGGTTGTTATAACTGTTTCTCTGTCCACGCAATAAGCTGTATTCAGGTATTGAGCCAAGCTAAAATCAAGTGTAGGTTGTTTTGAGAGATTATTTTTTCAGCCAAATCTGTTTAAGGGAAGGTTTAAACTGGCATGGTCA